GGACAAGTAATTTACCCACATTTGTTGATCCAAAAAAGGCACATTAACTATTCTAAGACCTTGAAACAAAGTTATCCAACCCACTTCAATTCATACGACACGTTCTGAGATCCCAACTCTCACACGTGACTCCGCCAATGAGAGGACTCATCCGTCTCCATATGCACTCCATTCCTCCCCACTTTTGTGTGTCCATATTTGTCTTTNCTTAATTAAAATTGACCAATTTTGCCTATAGGTTAAACAAAGTTGATAGTAACTATTGATATAGAAATAATTTTATTAGATTTATCTTTTAATTTTTTTTAAAACATTGTTTCATATAAATAATACACCAAATATCTTATATTTTATTATAGGTCAAATATTAATCTTTGTAGACTGCAAAAAGTTAAAACATGACAAACACGTTAAGTCGAAGGGAGTAATAAATGCATGGCTGGCACGAAAATGTAAAAAAAATGAGATTGGTTCGGTGTAAAATTCATATGTTGGGCCCTATTTTAGTTTTTTTTGCAGAGTACTTGCAATTTAAAATTAATGCTAAATTTTATTTATAATAATTTTAATATTTAAATATAAATGTATATCAAATTTAAAACATTAAGTAATTAGAATAATACACATCTAACAATGGGCTTGTCTGGGAACAGCGTTTTCGATTAACATTAGCGTTTCAGATAAAATTTTAATAATTTTTATTAATTCTGAAAACGCTAACATTAAATATTACTGTCAGATGACATTTCCAAACCGCTTACGCCAATCTCTAATTCTGATGCAAAACAAGACCAATAATTCATGCACACTGGCTCGATAAGTCCAACACACAAATTTATGGAGGTTTCATCTTAAAACAAATTGACGATAAGAAAAGAGACCGTTGAACTTATATTTCAGTATTCTATTTTCTCATTTTTTCCAATGTGGAAGTGAACTCCCAACAGATTTGATTTTTTGAAAAACCTATGCTATGCAAAGTTGTCTTTTATCATCATCTCGTATTAATTTTAATTTTTTTTTCATATTTTTATTGATCGACTAAATTATGCCTTTTGTGGATGTTATGGTCAGGTCTTCAGAGGCTACTTGTGCGGTATTGGAATTGGGCGCCCATTTCATGTGATAGTGGTCGACCGACAACATACCACCACCGCCCAATGAATCAATCCACCAACCATTTATTTATGGTCCCTTATGTGAACATATACACAATTCACCCCCCACAAATCTACACAAAAATACGCAAAAATCAAACGTGTATTCAATGTTTTTGGAAAACCCCTATCAAATGATCATGACTGCTTCAACTTTTACACATAACACTTAAGGTTTTTTTAAGTAATGGTTAAATTTGTATTTGTGACTTTCGAAAAGATTATGATATCATATTAAAAACTCAATTCGATAATTACAAGCTCACACTTATATAATTATATAGGTCGATAAACAATTTTATATTCTAAGATCAAAGTAATAGATTCATGAAAAATTTATGCGGTATGTATAGCATATGCTTCTTTCATACCACAAAACAGTTTCTTAATTTTTTATTACTCCAAAAAGAAATTCACTTTTTACTTTTGGTGAAAAAAGTTATGCATGATCAATTGTTAATATTTCGATTAGTCGAGAACAATGGGCAAAATGTCGAGTAAAACTTATTGTTTGTATTTAAAGTTGAAATCTACTTTCTAACCTAAAAGTGTTAACTAACGGTAGAACTCCATCATTCTATAAATGCTACTGATATTTTCTTTGTTTTACAATGTAGAAACTCCAACACTCCCTCTTAAGTGGCAGTTAGCCTGGCATAGTTAGAACTTTGAAAAAACGGATCTAACATTTCAATCTCTTATACTCCGTAATTAACACACACAACCAGCAGTGAGCCAGTGACATCTCAACTTCTTATAGTCTACTCAATTCAAACCATAGACGAGTAGCTCATATCACTAAAACCACAACCAAACAACTAGAAAGAAACAAATTCAGATCGGACTTGCTCCAATACCATATTAAAATTTCGGTGGACTGAAAGCATGCACATAAAGTCAGGATCCACTTTATATATACACTAGTGATATTTCTCTTTATTTTTCAATGTGGGGCTCTAATAGTGAAATCATTTCTTTCACATTTGCACAACTTTGAATCATACAATTTTACTCCGTATTTCTTTCGTCCATTCCTGATCATGAATTGCTTTTGCACGACGAATAGAGTATTATAAACCCTAGCTTCTTCTTCTTCTTGTTGTTGTTGTTGTTGTCACTATTATACAATTTATACTCAATGGGTAATAAAAAGCGTAGTCTCAATCAAAAAGCAGGGACACACAAATTGGGATGGTAGTGATCTGTCGACAAAAGAACGTGTACATATACGGAGTATATAAGATCCGACCCACCATGCATTAATTAATTAAGGACGAAACAATAAAATAATGGAGTTTTATTTTGTAATCCACTCCATCGAGTTTAGTCAAACGATAACATTCTTTGATAAATAAATGATATATTAAAACTATATTCTAAAATGAATCCAATCATATTAAAGTCATACTTTAATTTAATATATTTTTTAATAATTTATTGTCAAAAGATGTCCCTGTTTGACCCAAAAAAAACAAAACATGAAGGGTTTTTACGATCGGAAGAAAATTCCAAGCTCGGAATTCTTCTTGCGGAATCTCAGGGATTTCCGACTTGCCTAATTATTAAATAATCAAAAGATTTGGAGTTTTTTTGCAATGAGATTTCCCTTCTTGGTCATCCAATATACCTTTTTCGTCTCAAAATGTTTGCCACATTACATAAAATGACGCAAAATTTTGAATTTTTTCAATTCATTTTAATTAAAGATTAACATTTAGACTAAAAAATGAAATTTATATATATTAAAAAACTAAATCAGAATTTTTTTCTAAACAAGAGGTAACAAGAATTTTTTTTAATTAAATAATATAAAAAATGTATAATTAACAAAATTTTTTGTAATTTTTAAATAGTAAATTGTGTCTTTTTTTTACAAGAGTACTTCCATATGTAGGCTAATTCTATTTGGGCCAGTGCCGAGGATATTATGTAGGCTTAGAAGATCCGCTTTAGGTCCTGTCTTAATCTGGCAAGGTATAGGCGCCGCCCTTAATAAAGAAAGGCCCAAATTGAGAGTGGCAAGCCATCCATGACTCCATGTTAAAGTTGGGACTTGAGACAAGTATGGCGACATGGCGTGTTGAAAATTATTCCCCGTCTCAGTATATTTATTCAATATCTTTTTCGAGTCAAATATGATAAATTTTGAGTTTGGTTACTCTTAAACTGTAATTTTTTTTGTTTAAAAATGATTTAATTATATTTATTTGATTAAAACATTTAAAGATTATATTTCATTATACTAATATGTAATACAATCGAGAGTCATTGAAGCTTAAAACGTATCCAGTTTGACTCAAAAAAATTAAATTGCACAAATACAGTGATACAAAGATAGTATATTCTTTTTGTACAACATAGATACACCATTATATTGTGTATATTGATATTCCATACTTTTCTACATATCACTGATGGATACCATGGACTGGATGGGGCCGGGGTATCTGGCCTAGTCAATTAGCAGGCCTAACACAGAAGCTCATTAGCTTTGAAGAAACAAATCACACTCGATCAAGCGAAGCATACCCTATTGAGGGTGGGTTGGCTGAATCAAGATTTCCGGTTGCATGGTCATGCCCAACCTCTACCTGAAAAGATGGACTCGGAACCGGCAGTTTACCCTCGTGGCACGAATGACAAAGATATGTACTCGGCCTCTGAAGGATACGTACCCAGCCTCAGACGTATCAGATATTACAGGACTTAAGCGCGACATTACGAGAAGCATTGGATTCCTCGTGCCTGTTGAAAGATACAGGGCTACTCGATGACATTATCCTTCTTGCATAATGCACCCATACAACGCATTAATGCATGTATCTGCACATATATTCCTTGTATCTTGTTCATGGACTCCATACCCCATGGATTTACTGCATGGGCCTAGCATGGGCATTGTGGGCATTGTGGCCATTGTTGTAGGCAACAACTAGGTGACAAATTGATAGAAACATGTAATGCGTGTATGTATATACCCCCTCACTTCAAAGGAGTGCGATCATAATTAGAATTACTTCCATAGTCCAAACAACAATACCACACTCGGACTGCACTCTTGCTTGTAATGCGACACTATACATGTACATATTACTATACTTTTGGATAATGTACATGATCATGATTGGTAATATAAATGCATTTTAAGTCATATTTCAGTAATAAAGACATAGAACTCTAATTTTGATATATTTTCAATGTTTTATTCTTATTTTAAAAATAATTTTTTAAAATAAAATATCTCAAAGGAATGTAACTGGTGACCAAAATTGTTTTGTCATCTACAATATTTAAGTAGACTATTTATTTTTGGTTAATTTATCTAAATAGGACTAAAATATGATGACTTTTTCAATATAGAACCATATATTTTTATTTCCCAATGTAGGACCATTGGTCATTATCTATTAGTCATTATTCAACTAAATATCCAACATCACTTGGACATTATTCTTCTCACTAATCATTATTAAGTCATATTTAAAAAATAAAAAAGTTTAAGTCCTATATTGGAGAATGACTTATTTTTTAGTCTTATTCAGTACAAATTTTACTTTATTTCTTATTTATTTCAAAAGATCTAAGTAAATAAATTTTTTTATGGATTGAAAGAGATAAGTGATTCTATATTTTTTATATGATATTCCATTCTTGATGGATGGAGTCCAAAATGTAGAAAAAAGAAAAGGAAAAAAGCCGCGTTGACGCGGTGAACATTCCCACTTCAATTTCCCGGGAGAGAGAGAGAGAGAGAAACGTAAACGCCTCCCAACTCTCTAAACTCAACCGTCTCTCTCTGTCTCGTTTTGCAGAAGCTTCCTTTTGAAAACTCTCCATCAATTCAACTGCCTCCTCCATTAATACCCCTCCCTCGCCATCCGCCTCCGCAACCAACCAAGCTCTGGTTCAGTGATTCTTCGCCGGCAATGGCCGCTTCTATTCACACCATCGCTGCTGCTTTCGCGATAGTCGCGGTTGCGCTTCCCTGGTCTGCCACCGGCGATTTCACTCTCGCGCCTTTATTATCCCCCATTTTCGGTATCTAACCTCACTTTAATTTCCATTTTTATTTTATGCTTGTGTTCATGTCAAGCTGTGTTTGTTCATACGACTCGTTTATTCAGCTGAATTTGTACCCGTTTGGGGATTTTCAATTGGGTTTGATCGAGTGTATGGATCATCTTAGTGTTTGTTGATGTTTGGCATAAACCTTTTCTAGTGTCAAAAATGTGTTTGGAATGAATGCATTTGTTGACAAAAAAAAGGGAGTAGAGATACGATAAATGCAATTCATAAACAAAACCTAGTTCATATAGGGGTTCTTCTGTGCTTCTTTCGACCCCGAAGTAATTCTTACTCCCTGACCCAGCTCCAGCCCTCCGGTGCACCCCAGCCCCCTTCCTTTGGTTGACAATCAATTGTCAAAAGAGGGATTGAGGGGAAGGAACCACAGTGTCATATTATTATAGTGGGATGCAGTGTCGTTTGAACTGCGGTGTGTGAACATACTCTGTTATCATCACTTTGTAATCACGAATATGATTTAGAGTTCGTTGTTTCCACAATTTTAACTTAGTTCAATTCAATTCAACACTTAAAATTACTACTTGTACGTAGTAATAGTTTTCAGCTCAATACTTCAATCCTGTGTGTATTATCATGACTTGCCTCCTAGTAGAGTGAGCTAACCTAAATATAAATTATGAATTATAAACTCAATGAAACTTCATTTTTGTTGGATTGGTGCATATATATACTGGTAGGTGGTGTGTGCAAACAAGGCCTGTGCGGAAAAGGGAATTGCAAGGAATCAACAAGTGGCGGTTTAGGTTATGAATGTGAATGTGATCCGGGTTGGAAACAAGCTAGGTCTCAAAACGACACTTTGTTCAAGTTTCTGCCTTGTGTTATCCCCAACTGTAAGTGCTACATATATACTCTCTTAGTAATACATTATATTTCTCTGGTTGGATCCCGTGGATTATATTACACTGAAAGATCACATTTGGACTCTACTGCTTCTGTGTTTAGTTCTCATTAGTCATTTCTTATGGCTTTTAAGAAGAGTAATTTTTTTTAGAGAGCTGTTTGGTCATAAAAAATGGTAACCTTATCAGGACTGCATAAAAGTCAATGAGATGGTATTGTTATTAATGACAATCTTGACCTGGCAACCTCATTCGTCCATTCTTTGCCCATAATATTTAAACATGTGTTCATTGTTGGTTGCTCTTTACCATTAATGCACTTAAATTATAAATCAATCTTTGTCCTGCATTAAAAATTATTTGTCTAAATTTATTCTCTTAGCTTATCTTTTATTCCTCCTGTTTTTGCTCTATATTCCTTCCCTAGTGTTTTTTGGGATTCAAACAGAGCCTAAGAATATTTGATTATGATTATACAGTTAATACTGATTATGAATTTCTTGCCATTTAGGTTCTGTTGATTTATCATGTGGAGAAGGACAAGCACCTGCTCCTGCACCAGAAAAAAGTGTCAACACATCAATTTTAGAACGTAATTACATCTAAATTTTCACTAATACTCTACAGCACTTATAAAACATTGTGAAATGTCCTTATGCCATGCCCTTCAAATTTTGTGACTTTCAGACATGTAGCCTGCCACTGGGCTAATTGCGGAGGCGGCTCGTGCAAGAAGACTGGTGCACTAACCTATGCTTGTATATGCAAAGAGGGATACTTCAATCTGCTCAATTCCACCGGTCTCCCTTGCGTCAGAGAATGTAAGACAACTCAAAATCCTACGTGGATGAAATGTTATGTTGGGCACATACTCCGGGGTGTTTGCCAAGGAATAAACATGAAAAATAAACAAAAAATAAATACATCTAAAATTAAGGTGTTGTTTGGTAATCCTTTTGTCTTATGTTTCTTGTTCTTTCGTTTGAATAGTTTCTGGAAAGCAAGACAGAACTTTGTAAATAATTGTGCATTTTTTTATTCCATTGTTCTGAAGACATATTTGCAATTGTGACATTGTTTAGTTATCAGAGTTTCTTAAACTTATCTGCTGAACATATGTACGCAATTTAAGATTTCGAAAGCAAGCACACAAGAATGGAATTCTTAAAAAGGGAAAAAATAACACAAATACAAGAAGCGTTTCAAATGAACTGTCGATGTTTATGACTCGTCAATCATATGCATTCAGGTGCACTCGGAATGGACTGCAAAAATCTGGGATTTGGCTTAACAAACAACTCAATTAGTCCTCCACCCCCAAGCTCATTTGATGGTAGTAGCAAAGGTGAGAGTTTTCCCAGTATTGCTGATCAGTAATGAATCATCCTTGTACTTAAGATTTTTCAGATTACACAGTTCTAATTATATATGGTCTGATGGAGTAGTAGCGTCTAACTTTGTTTAAATGAACTAACTACTTAACATTTGGTTTTGCGTTGCGTCATACAAATGGACTAATTAACTATATTTTGTTCTTACAATTAAAACCAGCTTGCTCAAACATGGGAGGTGGATTTTTCTGGAAGGCTATTGCAGCAACATCGCTGGCCTTATTTTTCTTGAATTTGATGTAAAGGATATAGATACTATATACGGAGTATAAATGGATAAACACGATATTCACTTTTTTGCAGTTAGCTTCGAGCAGCCTTTAATATTTCCTTTGATAAGTTTTGGGTTATACCCCGGGTATAGAAAATACACATCTGTATACTCAACGTGTTGTATCATATTGTGACTTTTTGTATGTATCCTATATTCATGATTTGGTTTTGGTTATTCCATGTGTGGGAAATTGAAATTGGTGTGTTTATTCATGCATGGGGTATTTGTTATTGCCATTGTTTGTCGGCTTCCTCCTAGAAACAAGTTTCTCTACTCCTTGGGGTAGAGGTAAGGTATGCATATACCTTGCGTGCTAGACAAGCAGACCCTACGCACTTGAATGGGATATACTAATATTTTCTTTGTCTGATTTGGTATTCCTTGCTGCAATATACTCTGTATGTCTTTTGGATTTAATGTGTGTATTGATAGATAAAGTGTGCAACAAAGTGGGATGTGGAAAAGGGAGTTGCAGGGCATCAGGAAGTAGTGTTTTAGGCTATGAATGTGAATGTGATCCTGGCTGGAAACAAACTCTTCTTCAAAGCGACACTTTGTTCAAGTTTCTGCCTTGTGTTATCCCCAACTGTAAGTGCTACATATAAACTCTCTTAGTACCACATTTTTTTCTCTAGTTGGAATCAAGTTCAATGTTTTTCATTAAACAGTTTATACTGATTATAGATTTCATTTCTTTTAGGTTCCATCAACTACTCGTGCGGAGAAGGAGCCCCTGCCCCTGCACCAGATAATAGAGCCAACACGTCAATCTTCGAACGTAACTTATACTCTCTTTTTTTCGGGGTATATTTGTGGGCATTATATCTGAAGTCTCTCTCTTCAAAGTTCCCTCTTCTTGTCTTTTGTAGTTTGCAATTGGGCGGAGTGCGGAGGGGGGTCATGTACCAAGACTTCTGCACTAACCTACACTTGTGAATGCAGCAAGGGTTACTCAAACCTTCTCAATATCACCACTTTCCCTTGCTTCAAAGAGTGTAAGCCTCCTTGTACCCAAAGCATTGCCCTAGAAAATGTAACTTGATCATTCAAGAGACTTTTATTACCTATACTATATGCATTCAGGTTCAATTGGAATGGACTGTAACTTAACAAACAGATCTTCTAGTTCAACTTCAACCCCTAGCATATCGAATAATACCAACAAAGGTGATGTTTTCTGGTAGAATCAATCATATTTTTTATGGTTGGGTAATAGAATAAACATATAAGGGGTTTGTTTTCGCGTCTTGCAGGCAGCTCGATGATCGTCGGTGGCGGCTTTGTGTGGAATGCCATTGCAGCAACATCTTTAGCCATGTGTTTGTTCAAGTAGATGTTGAAGATGGATTAGATTTGTGTGACAAATTATATTCTATCGTGAATCTAAGGTCCATGGACCATAGTGTTGACATGTAGAGAGTATTTGCTTAGAGTTTAGGTAATCAAATTTTACTTTTATATAAAAAATAGAAAATTAGTTTTTTTTAAATGTAAGACGGTCCACAACATTAGAAGAGGCTAACTAATTTTTTTAAACCTAAAAATAGGATATTGATGAGCAATGTCGAATAATCGCAATGTCACGAATTGCCAAATATTCTCTCCATCTCAGCGTATTCGTTCAATTTGATTTTTTTGAATAAAAAATCATCAATTACTCTTAATATGTGTTGTATATTAATACAATAAATTGAAATTTTAATACTTCTCAACAAGATAAATTAATTTGAAACAATTTTAAACTAAAATACATTATTATCTTTATTTAATTGAAATCTAAAATTCTTCTAGTTTAACTTAAAATGTAGTATCAATTATCAAATTGTAATGGTAAAAATAATGTAAAATCTACTCAGATGAGCAGTTCAACTGATCTCAGAAGTAGAATTTGAAACAAGAGATCAAGTATCGAGTCTCACCAGCTGCAATGTGGGAGTAACCTCTCAAAAAATGAGAGAAGTCAAAAAATGAGTCACCATGATTTATATTCTCTCACATTTTCGTAGGTAGGGATAGCAATTGGAACAAAAATAATGTAAAATCTAAAAAATAAGCAGCATTATAAAGCGAAATAATGGAGGGGTCAAGAATTACTCCATTGTGTCAAGAAGTATTTTCCCAATTTCACGCGTGTGAATTTGTTCTCTTACCTGGCCTTTCTACTGTATCATTTGATAACCTAGGGAGGAGTATCTAACAGTATAGCACGACCTTTTCAGCCTAAACTGGCAAAATTAAAAACTGAGATCGGTTTATAATGATGAAAATATCAATGGACAAGACGGTTAACGTGAGGTGGCTCCGCCCTTTCCGGCGGCGACGGCATGAGCTTGTCTTTGTAATAACATGATTACATTTTCTGAACCCTGCCGTCAAAAATCAAAATCACCACCGAAAGGACACCTAGCGCCCCACTCCATCCATCTCATCCTTTAATTCTTGATAACTGCTGTTAGGAAGTACTCCGTAATTACATTAAGGCCCGTTTGGTATACATAATTGGTATACATAATTTAAATTATGTAATTGGAATTAAGGACTTCAATTTTAATTGGTAGCACAAAAATTATGTGAATTGGAATTGATAGTGCAAAAAATGAATTGAAACTGGTGAATTCAATTCTGTGTAATTGAATCTCATGGAATTTCAATATTCCAATTTTATCGATTTCGTATACCAAACATATCCTAAATATAAGACTTCTGTAAATATTAGGTTCAACCTCTACTTTTTCTTGTTAGTATAATTTATAACCGCTCGGGTGATTGTCCGGCCAATTCTAAGAGCACTAGTTTGTAATCTTAAGAGACACTCAAGAAATTTGAAATTTGATTAAAAAAGAATAAAATAGCGCACTCCTCATATACGTTATTCATTTGGCTTGAATTTCTCTCACGTCTGTTTTTGGGTATGTTTAATTTTTGGCATTTAAGATGACTTTTGGCTGTTTTGACCAAATTTAGTGGATTTGATTGGTCAAACAACGGAAACAAATGTTTAGTAGTTGGATGCAAAAGTTAGCTATTTGAGTTCGAAAAGCTAAAATTAAAAAACTACAGGGAGTGGCATTTCAATTTGGCGGTTGGAAAATAGAATTTTTTAATTATTTGTTACTGTATGTATTTTTTATGAATAGATAAAAAAAATAATTATTTATTGCATAATTAAATACTCCGTGATAAATTGATAAATAAATATATAAATAAAAAATTGATAAAAAATAAATAAATAAAATAACTAAATAAGTAAATAATATATAAATAAATGAATAGTAAACAAATAAATAGTCCTTCCCCATGTAAAAATCATGAAGGGATTTGCGAGAAATTTTTTTTTAAATTTGTTTTTGAGAATTTGGTGTAGAAATAAACAAATTATATATTTAAAAACTAAATCATTTTTTTTTGAAACAAAAGGTGATATAATTATTATTTTATCAATTGATCGATAAAACACATAAATATTTAAAATCATAATGACTACAATAATATATATCTTAAATTTTAATTTGTGGAAAGAAGGGATATACATTGCAAAACATGTTATACTATATAATTATATAGGTGAAAATTTTATTAAATTTAATTTAATTTATAAAAGCTAATTTGAAGAAGCTAAGTTTACCAAACATTTTTTTATCAACCGCTAATATAATTGATTGGTCAAAGGAACCAACTCAACCAACAGCTATCAACCAAGAACTAAATTTCAAACAGGGTCTATGTCATGCCTTTGTTTATTTTTAGCATTTTTACATTTAATTTATGGGTTATTGTTAAATCTATCTCATATATGGCAATATTGACTCTATTTTTTTTGTCAAATAGATATGTTTACCTTTAAATGCACAAAAAGAAAATTTAGATGCAAGTCAGTTTTTAAGGGTAACTAGTATTTTGACCCGTGCCATGCACGGGGTCGAAAGAAATTTATGTCGATTCTAAATTTATTTTAATGAAATTTATTTTTCAGAATAAAGTAAATATATTGCTCACATGATTTTTAATACTACAAATGAAAAAAGCCAAAGTAAAATAAATAATATTTGAGGAACAGAATGTAGAGTTAACAATGTTTATTTTAATACCAAATTTTCCGAAAGATTTCAGGGTATACAACATTTTTGGTATGATTGCAAGGGTTTCTATTGTCATCTAGAACTAATATTTTTAATCCGGTCTTTGTCTTCACTCGTGAAACAACAAAATATAGTTGACCATGTGTGAACACTGATTTGGTTAAAAATAATCCCACAAATGACAATGTTTGACATTGACTTTTGTTGATTGTTATAGCAAAACATGAGGTGATCAAGAATGATCTTCTTTGGAACTTCAAGGGTAGCCCTAGATCAGATGGTACCAAATTCATTCTAGGGATGTAAACTTTTTCCCCGACTCGATTTCCCGAAACCACAATTGCACCAATAACATTATTTCGCAGCTCTTGAACGATTAATCTTGTCCCATTACACAATCCAGATGTTTGGTCAAT